GCACCACAGAAATTTTTATATCAGAATTTTCAATAGTTCATCGGTGTTTAATAAAATATTACGAGTTGAACAGACAACTCAGACTTGTTCGTATTTTCTTGTGTACATCAATGGACCTTTCCCCGACCTTTGACCCCCAAAAAATTCTTCCTATACTTTACAATTGCAAAATTCTCGGGGCTTATTTTAAGAGTGGTTTCGCGAGTTGGCCCCTGTAAAATGGGGTATTTGTTGAGACCATCATTCATGGCGTACAATAATCACCTTTTTATAAGTGCCGGTAAGGAATTTTAGCCTAGTCTAACACAGCTATTTTTACACATATTTTTCATTTACTGCAATTGAATTAAAACTTATAAAAAGACATGGTGATCATTTAATTATCTGATTTATACTCAAATTTTCGAAACACAACTGAAAACTAACGAATAGAGATAAAAAACGCAAAAACGAGGTAATGTTTACAACCATGCCTAAAAATCTGTCTGAGCGGATGCGAAAAGGGTGCATTGTTACGTCACTTTTTTGCATCTTGCTGATTGGCCAATTACTCGAAGTCAACAAGGAGGTTGATGCTCGGGGAAGGTACATTAGTGATGAACACTGATACTTACTTGTCGAAAGTTTGGTGTAGCGACATGGCTACTCAGATAATTGGTGCACGGAGTCGTTTCTTGTTTTGTTGTTGTTGAAACGCGAGATTACTGGGCATACCTGGTTGGAATGCCTTGACGTATTTATATTTATTTTCAAATTAACGTATATATGATACTATATATACACAGTTCGACTTTTTTTTGTTATTATTTCCTTGTTAGACTTGCTTATGGGTGCCGCTGCTCGATAACCAAATTTGGTTTCTCGCGGCTCCCCTCACCCTGAAATGCCTTTTATTTATTTATTGCAATTTGTATATCAAGTGTGCATTTAGTATGGTGAGAAAATAAACTACTGATTACTGACAACATCAAAATTAAAAATGGCGCACTATGTGGCGGTTCCGCGATCGCATTTCAGCGATCTAGAGGTCAGCGAAGTTGGGCAGTTTTCTGGTAAGGTAGACTAGACTAATAAGTACTGGTAAAATTTTAAACTGCAGTTTGTACTCGGTTCATCTGGTATTTCGATTCACGTTGAGACTTGACGCGTGAGTCTTAATCGTGACAATTCCCAGAATATATGGAAATCATATTCTCCTAAGCCAGTTGATGCAAACCTAGGCAGCTAGACTACTTATATTGCAGATAAAATGCAAGAGCTGGAATTCGTTTTATGTTATTGTTTTGGAATGAAATTTTACAGAATTTTCACAGAGTAAGTCAAGTTCTGCAAAGTGAGAATGTAGACTTACAAACATGCGCGCATCTGTATGCATCATTACGAGGCCAGCTGCGCATTCCACGAGATGAATTTGAACGCTATGAAGCGCTCACGCTACCACTGCATCCAAATGTCTCTTCATCTGCTGAGAAGGAAAGGTATTCGCAGGGTTGTCAAAAGCTTATTGATGCTTACCCAGAAGATTTCAACAGTAATTTCTCAGCTGAGCTTCAGCAGTTTCATTTATATGTGCTCCATAAATTCAATGACACAGGAAAAAAAATCAAGATTCAGTCATGCTGAACTTTACAAAATTCTTGTAGAATATAACATTGAGTGCGCCTTTTCAAATGTAGACAGCAGCTTTCAAATATTTTTAACATTAATGATCACAAATTGTTCAGCAGAACGTTCATTTTCTCAGCTGAAGTATGTTAAAAACCCCTACAGAACAACTATGAAACAAGACAGACTAGAATACTAGACGCTTTATCTCTGTTGAGTATAGAGGCAGATGTGTTACATAAGCTTAGTTTTGAGGATCTAATCAAAGACTTTGCAGCTAAAAAAAATTAGGAAAAAACTTTTCAAAAGTAAGTGAAAGACTTCTGTCTTTTCAAATGTTAGTGGTGCCTTTGTAATGTCAGTGGCGTAGTATCTAGTATGGAGAAAGACTTGTTTTGATAATATGAGAAAATTTATCAGAATCAAATTCAAGTAAATGCACCGAAAAACATCGTTTGCTTCCTTACTGTTGGTATTGTTTTATTTCAATTTCATCTTTTCAAAATTTTGTGTTGTTCATTATTTAATGTAAAAGATGTATTATGTAAGAATAAGATTAGGTTTGGGAATATGAGCAAAATTTCACAGTCAAAAAAATGTAAGAAAACCTAAAAATGTTCGTAGAAGTTGTATTTTTTTACTGTCGGTTGTGAGTATTTTTGATGGATAATACACTTAATTATATGTATTTTAAAAGACACATGTGGGGGCACCAAAGCCTCCAGTGCTTAGGGCACCAAAGGGGCTTAGTCCGCCCCTGTGTGTCCTATATAGTAGTATAAGTCTGCTGAATAGTCAAGGAGAGTCATTAAATTAATCATAAACATTTCATGCAAGCCAGAAAATATCGTTGTTTGTGACATATTATTCTAGGGTCTAGCCTTCCTTGGAGTTACCGCACCGTACCTATTTAACAACGTCTTATGAGCTAGTGCTCAACTAAAATTGCAATTTATGGTAAGGATGTACAAGTGTTAAATATCTTACTTATACTTTTCAACACCACCTTAGAATAACTGAACTAATAATAACTGAAAAAAACTATGGAAAGGCTACTCAACGCAACAGCGAGCAGTAGTAGTACATCTGATATTCATCCGACCACTGGGGATCCACCTACATCTGACTAAGTTGGTTGTTACGTCATGCAGAAGTCTGCGTTCATTGGCCCATGATACCGGAAAAGCAGAGAAAATAGGACAGATGGTAAGACCTATTTATTGTAGTATGTATGTATGTTTATTCGTCTCGTAAAAGCAATATAAAAGAGTAAGTAATTATAAATACTGAAGACGGGATGTATGCACAAGACCATATTGGCCTAAAACACAGATGTGCGGCATACACCCCTTTTGATATATATAAATTATAATAGGGTAAAATAAAATATGTACAAGATGGTCCTTTATACAGGCAGTTGTGCAAGGAGGGTGGGTGGATGTGGTAACAGGGATAAGGGTGGAGTGTACAAAACTGTTTGTACAAAGGAGTTTGTTAGACAAAACAACATCTATAAATAGAGACACAACATGAAACACACTGCATATGAATATAGTAATAATAATAAAATTAGGAATTTGGATGAATGTACAACACCATTGAGTGATGATACCACATACTATAAAAAGGGGGTAATGGTCAAGTTTAAAGGGTGTGTACATATATGGTATGCACCACTCAAGGGCGACAGTGTTATAAGTGGTCTATGGCTGTTCTGGCCAAAATGTGACCCTACAGGTTTTGGTGAAATATGATAAAGGTATGTATCAAATTACTCACTATTGTAAGTTTTTTTTTTGAAATTCTGGATTCAGCCAGAAACGATGAAGTTTCAGAATAAAATAAAATTAATAAAAAGCATTTCCACAAAACCTATTATGGTTGCATTTCAGCCAGAAGATTAGAAAGGTATAAAGGTACAGTGGGATAGGGAATGATAAGTTATAAAGAGAAGCCATTTAACCATGTCATGGATTTTCCAATGTAAATTAAAATAATAAAATTATATGGTATCCTGGGATGAGCAGAAGAAAAAGTGTGATTCGGTGATAGGTAGCACCTATCTCTACTATTTGTGCATTGAAGTTCTATTGAATTGTACTATCTATAACCTAAATTGCTGTGCTTTTGTTGTTGTCTAATTACGCATGATAATGAAATTAGAATGGTGTGCTAGTTATTAATTCAGTCCATTGTTCTATATTGAATCCGGGTGAAGTATCCTGTGGAGTTATTGAAATTGTCAGCTGGTCTATGGTGACTGAAGAGGAGGACAGTTTCCTGATAGTTCATTCAATCCAAATAATCAACAGCTCTCCCTTTCAGTGTTGAATTCACCTTAAAAAATAATCTCCAAACAGTAACATGTTCAAAGCAGAGAAAATTGCTAATATGGTGATAATATATATTGTTTAAGTTTGGAACAAAATTCTGAGTTCGATTTTGAATTTTTGATGTCATCGGGTAGCGAATTCCAAGCTTTTGGTCCACATACTGCGATTGATTCTTGTGAAAAACTTTTAATGACAAATGGAATAAAAAAATTATCTTTATTTCTGCTGTTTAAATTTGGGTTTGCTTGGAACAGGCTGTTCATGCTGGACGGAAGCTCTCCAATGTGACAAGATAACATCATAGTACATAGTTCGAATTTAGCCAAATCCACAACTTGTAGTAGCCTATGCTCTTTAAATAAGTCATCAATTTTTTCGCGATTACCTCTATACAAAACTCTTCTAATAAAGCGATTGCAAACACTTTGAATTTTTTTGAGAATGGACGATTGGCGATGAACATAAGCTGAGGCACAATAACGAATATGGCTTTCTATCAGAGAGTGGTATAGAGATATTAAACAAGATGTATTTAAGTTGTTGGTTATTTTCGTAATGGCACTAAGAGACGACCTTGTTTTCGATAGAACCATATTGGTGTGTTGTTTCCAAGACAATTTATCATCGATCATTACACCCAGAAAGCGAGTCTGATTAACTCTTTTATATTTATTCCATTTAATTCCAAATTTTGTTGCAGAGTTGGACACTTTTGCTTCGGCGTGCTAAATATCATATATTTAGTTTTATCGACATTAATAGTGAGTTTGTTCGCAGACAACCAAGCTTGAATACTTTTCTAAGTCCGGTATTTGGCTTTGGTCAAAAGTTCAGGCAAGTTTTTGCCTCGAAGATATTGGAGTTGAGTCCATCAGCAAGCCAAAAAGTATGATATCAGAGTGAAGAAGAGAATTTCGGAAAGTCGTTAATAATGATTGAAAAACATAATGGAGCCAAAATAGAACCTTGTAAAGTGCCTAACAGTCAAATTACAGTATGTGCTAGATGCTACATCATTGTATATAACTACTTGTTTCCTTCCTGATAAGTACTTTTAACCAATTATAACTCTGACCTCTAACGCCAATATGGTGCAATTTGGCTAGTAATATGTCATGGTCAATACTATCAAATGCCTTGGAAAGGTCCAAGAACATACTGAGAGTATACTCATTCTTATCAAATCCTTCTAGAATTTTACTGACAAGCAGGGATGTTGAATGATTTTGACGAAAGCCAAATTGTTGTGAATGAAAGAAATTTTTTTGGTCTAGGAAATGGTTGAGTCGTTTGTACATAATTTTTTCTAGGATTTTTAAAAATGCGGGAAGTAAGCTGATCGGTCGGTAGTTTTTTTACATCTTTTGCATTTCCTTTTTTGAACAATGGCATAACTTTAGATAATTTGAACTGGTCTATGTATTTACCAGATTGTAATGAGCAGTTAAAGGTATGTGCGAGAGCACAAATACAATTCCAGGGCATCATTCGTATAACTTTAAAATAAGCGCCCGGGCTATTAAACGAGCGAATACGGTGATTCTGATACTAAAGAGGAAAAACACACAGAGAAGATTCCTACAAAGTGGCGTACTAATCTTCGACTTTTCTTCCTAAAAAGACAAGAAAATGAATAGCCAAAGTTTGACAAAATGTGTGTGAGTGGGAGGAATTGCATAAAACTCGTGGAGTTTATGCGTGAAAGCAAGTACGGTATGAGTTAGAAAAATATATACAGTATTTATGTTGATGATGAATTCTACCGAAGCGACACGCGCTGGCAATTCTGTTTCGATGACGCATCGTATTTCACAGACTAGCCCACCGTTCCATCGTTACTGTAACGGTATCTCGCTATCTGGCGTTTTATTAACATATTATCATCCCATATTGCAAAAGGACCTCTAAGCTTGGTACTATGTTTATAATGTCTGAATGTGGCGAAGCAGGGCTTTACACCCAATCTACGACCATGTTTTTAATCGTCAGTTTAGACTAAATCTTTTTTCATCATACAGACATAATACTGTAATACAGTAATATAACGTCAGAACGTTTTGTTTTGAGATATTCAATCCGAATACAGTAGGGTACTGCAGCAATAGTCTGCGCACTGCGTTTGTATAAAAATCAGTACCAGTAGCCAGTACGGTAGGTCTTCTGTGAAATTGGGACATAGGTTTATTGTCATGTCTTGCTTGATTCTTGCATGTTTAAACCCAATACTAGGTTGGTAATACAGTAATAATGAGCTGTAATACCCGAATACTGTAATAAATGCTTTTTTAGCTTGTTATTTTAGTCCTGTATATTTGTCTGGTGTGTTAACTTTTTGTGAGATGTTTTCTCTCAGAACAAGCCTCTGTCTGTCTGTACAAGCACCATCTAATCTGTGATTAACTTAGCTACTGAACTTGTAAAAACCATAATCTCTTCGGTTCAGTATTCAGATGTTGCACTATTTATTTCGGTATTTTATTAGACTCCAGATGAGAAAATATGGCTATGGCTGTATGGGTTTAAAAAGCTGAGATTTGTGACCCCAACATACTGACATACAATTTGGTTAGTGCCATCGTTCCAACCAATTGGCCATACTGCCATATCGCCCACACCATTTTATTGTATCATGGCAGAGTTATAAAATAAATTATCTGCTGTATTTATGGTTCCACATGAAAATATTTTCAGTTGAAAATATAATATACTGGTATTTAAATGCGAAAGTTGAAGTTGTTCAGTTGTTACAATGTAATGGCAGTTGCACAATTCAGCATTTACAGATATTTCTGAGTTTCAGACTGTAATAAGTTTAACAGTTTTCTCTCTGCTCACCGGCCCAATATTACAGTTATACTATGTGGATTATAAAACAACATTTTTATTGTTATTATTGTTTCTATCCTTTGGTAACGACCACATACTGATGTGGAGTAGACAATTCTGCACACGAGTACTTTTTAATTATATTAAAATTCAAAGTAAAAAAAAAATGAATGTTTGATATTAGTCTGCCTCTGTATTTTGAGAGGAGGAATCTTACAGGTATAATATTGTCGCGCTAAATTGTTAGATTGTAATCCTGTAATGAATATTTTCCTAATTGCAGATTTTCATCAGTTACATTATGCTCAATGGCTGAACAGAAAAATCAACCATCGACGAACTTGCTTTTTTCTCCTGCTAACAATGACCTGTTCAATGTGAACAATTCTAGTGCATTCCTAGTGCCTGTGCAGGGAACAACTTCGTCTGCATTGATGACATCTGAAAATCCTGCAGAAGAAGATAGTTTCCTTGGACAAAATAATGCTCAACAACCAGCAACCTTTTCTCTTTTTACCGGAGCAGAAGGAAGTGATCCGTTTTCTGCTGTGGGTAATGCTCCTCCTGGAAGTAAATCAAGTGGAATTACAACTTCTGAACAAGAACCAAGCCTGTTTGTCCCCTCTTCTACAAGGTCTAGTCCACCATTGCTGAGCACTTCAAGTTATAGCACAATTAGCTATAGCACACCACTTGTGAATTCTAGTTTCCAAACGCCCACACCTATGGCTATGTCATCAACAAATGGTATAGCGCCCCCACCTACACAAAGCTACTCGGGTACCCCAAGTGGTCGTTTGTCACATTACTCAACTCCAAGATATGTTCCTCCACCTGATTATGGTATTGCTCCCACATCAGCGACGCCTGTATCATTTCCGCCTAGTGGAAATGCTCCACCTCCTCCTATGGCCGGTTTTACCCCAAGTCCATATGCCCTAATGTACAGTACAATGCAGCAGCACCACCACCATCCTTTGCAAAACTTGCAGATTCTACTCCACCCCCACCAAGTGCTGAAAGCATGTATCACCTGGTCTCTTCACATTGGTGCTACAGTAAAACACTTTCAGATGGATCTCTAATTTGGAATCCATTTTCCTATTTTGATTCTCAGAAGTTGGAAGAAGCTGCAAGGAAAGGTACTGAAGAAATTGTAATCACAGATGGTGGTAGATATGATGTAGCTGTTAAAAGTCGTGAACGAACAAGTGTTTATTGGGAGGAGCCGGTTGCTCAAGTGAGACGTTGTACATGGTTTGCGAAAGCAGATACTGATCACAGATATGAACCTTTTGATGAGGCACTGTCATTGAAACTTGAAGAAGAATACAAAAAAGTTGTCATTGGTAATACATGGCACAAACAAATTGATCTCAGCGGAGGTGAAATGATTGTTATTCACAATCCTCAAGTTATTGTTCATCTAATACCTAGGGAAAATGAAGTTGGGATGTTCCCTGAACAGCAAATGAAGTCGCGTATTGTTAAGCGTGGTATTACAGAAATTGACATGAGCAGGGAAATTCCTGAAAACGAAATTGGTGAGCCAGATCATGTTGTGTTTGTTTGTCATGGCATTGGGCCAGTATGTGACCTGAGATCTCGTACGATAGTTGAATGTGTAGATGATATTCGAGCAATTCAGCTCTCTCTGCTAAAATCCCATTTTAAAAATGCTTTAGAAGGAAAACGTGCTCAAAGAATTGAGTTTCTTCCCATACATTGGCATCGGGCACTTCATGGTGATGCAAATGGCGTTGATCGAGATATACGGAGGTTAACACTTCCAAGTATACAGAGATTAAGGCATTTTACAAATGAAACACTTCTTGACATTTTATTTTATTCAAGTCCTGTTTATTGTCAAACAATTGCTGAAACTATAGGTGCTGGAATCAACTCTCTACATCAGTTGTTTTTGAGTCGTAATCCAAATTTCAACGGTAAATTTTCGATAGCTGGTCATAGCTTGGGAGCACTAATGGTTTTTGATCTATTGTGCAACCAAGGCACCAAACAGCAAACTTATGATTTGGATTCGAAACCGTCATCTGTTCCTGATGAACTAACAGTGCCTCAGTCAGATATTTCGGCACGATCATCAACTCCAAATTCTACTCAGGATGGAAGCCTGATAGATGAAGAAGTGGAAACTACGTTGGATGATCTTCTAGCTAAATTGAATCTTGTTAAGTTTAAAGAAAACTTCGAAGCTGAACAGATGGAGATGGACACTTTACTCTTGTGTGGTGAAAATGATTTAAAGGACCTTGGCTTACCAATGGGTCCTCGTAAAAAGTTGGTTGGATATTTGAAACAACAGCAACAAGAACAAGAGAGGAAACGACAGGAGAAAGATGCACAAGCCAAACGTCTTGAGGAAGAAAGACGACTTATGGAACAAAAAGTTGAACAGGAAGCTGTTGCTCCTGTAAATCAAAGAATGGAATCTGTGACAGGATTTATGTCTAGCGCTATGAATGTACATGTTGATTTTCAGCAATACGATTGCGGAACAGGACAGCCCATGGTTAAATATCCTCAGCTACAGTTTGATCCCGAAATTTTCTTCACACTAGGATCACCCATTGGAATGTTTTTGACGGTCCGTGGTATATCCGACCTTGGTGAAGAATTTTGCTTACCAACATGTGGTCGATTTTTCAATGTTTTCCATCCTTATGATCCAGTTGCATATCGTGTAGAACCTTTAATCAACCCGGAGTTTTCTTTGAAACCTGTACAAGTTCCCCATTATAAAGGACGTAAGCGACTTCATTTAGAGCTACGAGATAGCTTAGGACGAATGGGAACTGAATTGAAACAAGGCATCATTAACTCAGTTAAACGAGCTATTGGAAGCATGCAAAAGTTTGCCCAAAATTGGCAGGGAAATGCAGAATCATCGGAGAAAGAGATGGAAGAGGAAGTTGAAAAAGTTGCTGACGAATTGTTGAAACAGCAAAGTGAAAAATCTCATGAAAATGATGACATTGTATCAGTGGCGTCGGAGTCTAGTCAAATACCTGGAGGGATGGGAAGACTTAATGGAGGGCAGAGAATCGACTATGTACTACAAGAGCGACCACTAGAAAGTTTTAATGACTATCTTTTTGCATTTCAAAGTCATCTTTGCTATTGGAATAGTGAAGATACAGTTCTTCTTATGATGAAAGAAATATATAGAGGAATGGATATTTTATCAGACAGCCAAATTCAAAAGATTCAAGCTGCACAGCAGGTTCAGACTTTACCCCCAACATTAAATCAACCACTTGGACTACCGCCACCACCAATGTCTTCTTATCCAGTGCCAAAATAAATAAACATTCTTCCTTATTTAACGAATATAGATTGCAGATGCCAAATGACCAAACTACTAAACAAAGGGTGATTTTGTGAAGTACGAAAATTAAAAATGCTATTGCACTATTAATTTGACCTTGTAGTTAAATAATAATATATATCATCAACATTCTTCTGTATTGTTGAACTATTATTCAACTAGAGAATATTTCAGAAACTGGCCATGTAGAATATCTGAAATATAAGCCAAAGGTCCATGCATGTCAGATTAATCTTGATATGTTAGGAGTTTTACATCAGCAACATGGCAATTTTGTTTTCCTGTTAGATACATATACCTATATGCCAAAGGGTCATGATATTTTTTCTAAAATTGGTTCTAGAGTACAAATAGCAACAATCATAGTTTTTTCCTGAAGTTGTGTAAAATGCCTCATCATTCTGGATATACTTTTCTAATTCAACTTCCTGGGTCAAAGTTGAACTGGTACTTCTGCATTATAGACAGAATTATAAAATAAGAACTTTGCCCGTTAATTTCATATGAAGTATATTGCACTGGATTTAGTTGTTGAAGCAAGTTTGCAATATTCTATCTCCTATGGTGTAAAACATGTTATCGGCACCTTTGTTGCGAAATGAATGGTATATATACATTATTGTTTTGGAGAGGCCCTCACTGGCAGAGACATGTGTCTTTGGAGCACCTTCACAGGGCTGTCTAATGTATAAAATGTTGCTGTTTATTTGTAACTTTGCCTTCAGCTGGCTCTAGTTTATAATGTCATTGTTGCCTTTGCATAGATATATGTGGTGAGTTGAAGTCAGATAATTTGTTTCACTTGTGCAATAAGTAGCCATAGGTGCACCGTCTGAGTTGCTATTTGACCATTTCAATTGTTTTCTTGATTTGCTGATAAAATTGTATATTATTATGGTAAAATGATATTTATGTGAATTATTATAATATGGCTCATCAAAGGTCTGTTACTATAAGTTACAGAGTAGTTATTCCTGAATCAGCAGATCGCAAGGACTCGCAACGGACTTTGTCCATCTCTTATTTAGTTAGGATGCTGCGGATTCCCTGTCTCTATTGTGGTTGCAAATGTGAATGTTTGCCATCGACTTCCAATAAATTTGAACATTATGTCTTACGGCTCAGGGATTCGAAAATGCCGACTTCCACATTAAATTATGTGAAGTTTTCTCATCATTCGTGTTGAATCTGTATGGGAGAGGTTTGGAAATATTGTTTACAAATCGCTTTAAAAATGCCCGTTTACTATGCTTGATTAGATACTACCCCCATGCTTGATTCGATATGAAAATGTAACGGATTTGCTTGTAAATATAAGGTAAAAGAGAGCTTGGCAGACGGAAAAAAGTTTTTGCACCCTTACCACGCCGATTCATCAACTTTTGCACACTTTACGGAATAAGCTTACAATTTTTGCCTGATATGTTTTCGATGTCATTATTTTTTGTTAAAAACTAGGTTGGTTAAGCAAGGCAAAAATTACGCCAAAATTCAACCTAATTCAAAATATAGAACCAGCGGACACCTACGCACTACGTTTTGCGCCAATGAAGGGCATTGAATAAAGAAAGACTAATAATTTTGAACGAATTTTATCACAATTAGCGCTATTTTACTTTCTATTTATAGATGATAAATCTTCGTAGCCCAACATAATACAGTGTTAAGTGGGTACTCTTGAAGTATTCGCACCAAGATGTCGCATAACCTGAACCCTAACCTGGTACACAAACTCAGTTCAGGTTGTGCGCCATCTTGGTGCGCATTCTTCAGAAGGTCTGATAAATGGACATGGTCTGTGTTAAGTTTTGCCATGAAAATTCAGGAAAACAAAAGAGTGAGGTGTAGTGTGATAGTGTCAAAAGTAAAGAAAATCAATATACAAATACATGACGCAAGCGAGGAACAGAATAGTAAAGCAAAGTGTGTATTAGGTGTTCGCTCATAGTCGGGTTCTTAAAACTGGCAAGCTTGGGACCAGATTGTCAAACGAAATGACTGTGACATAAGAACTAACATTAGAAAAATCCACTACTATTTATAAATCTCTGCAATTTATGAGCTACATCATCGTTGTTGACTTTATTTGTCCAAGATAACGTGTTTTTCACCACAAAAACACATTCAGAGTTGTGCCTTTTTTCACATGTAATCATTGCTTGGTTGTTTTTATTGTTTATTTACGGATCGCATAAGCCTATATTGTCCGTGTTGTGGCGTTATTGAGCTGAGTGTCATACATCATGCATCTTGGAGTTACAACACGATATAACAAAATGAGTGGAGATATAAATATGAATATGTAGATATGAATTTAAAATGATAATGGAAAGTTTTATGTTAGGAAAACTTCTTAATATAAATTGTTTATCACTCCGTCAAACCATGTTTTTTTATATAGGTCAAACGGAATTTTTGTTAAAACGTACAACTAAAATATTTCACGGACTGTATTTATAATGTAAATATGCTGCGACCCTTGTTCGGGAAAATATTTTGCACGGAATCATGTTTACATTAGTCGGAACATTTCCTATTAGCGCAATCCAAACAATTGCTTTAGCTATGATCCGGCTATGAACGTTTCGATTATGTGGATACATTTATTGTCCTCCGACGGAGGTGCGTTGAGCATTAGTGGAGTTTTGTGACGAAGACATGTATGCTTGAAACTAGGGTATTGAGAGTAACAAAAGTAGATGAGAAGTCCACAGTGAGGTCTGAAATTCCTATATTTCCGATCAGCAACGCAAAAAACATTTTAATTCGGCCCGCCTAATGCTGCCACAACCAAACTAAAACCAAATTATGATGATTCACCTAAAAATAGTTCAAGGGAGTTGTTGAGGTTAAGTTTAGTTTTGGCACAAGGCTTATTGTTTTTCACTTTCAAAACACTGTAAATATTGTTCATAAAATGTAACTTTTTACGTTACACTTACATGGCCCGCCAGTCTATCTAGAGTGGGCAGATTTTTGGCCCTTGGACCAAAAACATTGCCCCACCCCCGTGTTAGAAGGTTTGATTTGATGCCACAGATAAGCAAAGAATTTTCTTAACGCTTTGCTAACGTTAATCATCCAATGTTCTGATCCTGGATGATTCACATAATTAGACCTTTTTTACCTCACTAACCAGCTATACCGACAGAGTTACGATCACAAAATATCTTCTTCTTATACGACTTGAAATTGACTTGGATTCGAATCAAGTCAACAATGTTCAAATTCAAATATTTAAATGACAACTTCACACCGATTTCGGCTCGACTTGAAATAGAATAGTAAAAAAAGAAAATTTGACCCGACTTAACACAATAAATTGGAGTTGATGACTAGGAGCCGTCCAGCGCCACGTATAGTGAATATTGTTCTGACAGGTTTATATACTCCTCACGAGGCAAATTGATCTTGGATATTGGCTACGGATTTCCTGAATATTATTTATACTACATTTTTAAAAGAGCGAATTATAAACGTAAATTTATTGCAATAAAAGTTGGCGAAACTTAGATGCTATCTTCTAAAGAAGCGAAATTACAGTATGAAGGCGACCAATATGAAAATGAAAAAAGAAAACAGTGTCGTTTTTGTGGGAAATCTTTTCGTTTCAAGATAAGATTACATAAACATAATGTAACACACGATGAAAAACTTACATGTGAGAAGTCTGTGGTAAATCTTGCACCACTGAACGTACACTACTAGAGTACCATTCAAAGACACACTTTGAAGAGGAATATTGATGCTCCGTCTGTGATAAAGCTTTCAGCCGCATTTGTTAATGAAACTGCATTTAAAGATTCATATTGTACAGGAGAAAAAATATGATTGCAATGAATGCGGAAAATCATTCAGGTTCCGAACAGGACTGGCTAAACATATAAAAAATCATACCCAGGATAAAAATCATTATTGCGATTTTTGCGGCAAGTCATTAAGAAGGAAGTCAGGTTTGACGAGTCATTCAAATATCCATTTGCCAGTAATGTGAGAAGCCATGAAAATGCCAAATTTGTGGAAAGGCATTTTGGGAAAAGCATCAGGTTGATGAAATTTGATAACGAAGAGAGACCGTGCATATGTAAAATATGTAATAAATCATTCAGGAAAACCGCTCATCTAAAATCACACATGTTAGGATAGTGTGAACTGTATGTTTAATTATCTGATCTATATTTAAGTTTCCGAAACACAACTGAAAACTAACGAATAGAGTTCGAAAACGAGGAAATATTTACGACCACGCTTGAAAATCTGTCTGAATGAGGAAAGTGTCTGAGCGGATGCGAAAAGGGAGCATAGTTACGTCATTTTTTGCATCTTGCTGATTGGCCAATGTCACGAAGTAAACAAGGAAGTCAATGCTCGGGTAAAGAACCATTGAACAGATTTTCAGTCGTAGTTTCAAACAACACCTCGTTATCGCGATTTTGAATGCTATTCGTTAGTTTTTGATCGTGATTTCGAAATTTAAGTGTAAACCCTATCCCATACCACCATTGAAATTTACAAATATGGACGTCTGGTGAATTGCAGATGACGATCTTTCATGCCCACTGGTAGAAGCATCGTACAAAATCAGAGGTTCCCAAAGTTGATTGATTGCGGGCCAAAATTCGAAGCAGACAGATATTAGCGGGCCAGAAACGGAGAGCGGAAAAAAGGGCGCGGCGCGACGCCACGGCTGGGGTTCTGAGAAAATTTTAAAAAATAGGCCCTACAATAGGCTGCACGCTTGATTTTAGATACACCTAGCATCGCAGTTTGTTATGCAATAAAATTGATAAATATACATAATAGTTAGATGATAGAATGCCCGGGGAATAACGAGCACGACTTTCAACAAGAAATTTGCATCTGATAGTGCCTAATGAAGTTACTTGCACATCTGGCATACGGCCGTCTGGGCCGAACTTTTGATTTATCATTGTGCTGTTAGAAGACTGATGCTGAAAATTTTACTTATTTCATCAGGAACTTCCAAAACTCGCAGCATACATCCGCGGAAAAATTCCCTTCAACAAACGGGCGATTCCTTTTAGCGATGTTGTGGGCTACAATATAATAACCAATAACGTGGACACTCACTTTCATTTGACATTTTGACAACAAGAACGCTGCCCTTTATTTAAAAAACGTCTGGTCAGCGTAATTGGCCAGCGGTTCGCGAACCCCTGGTATAAAACTATGAATTTTTTGTAAAGTGTGCGTATTCGCACATAGTTCTTGAGAGTCGCAAGTATGAACCAGATTGCCAAACCAATTGACTGCGACAACATAAGAACTAACATTAGAATCCACTACTATTTATTAATTTATGCAACTTATGAGCTACGACATCGTTGTTGACCTTATTTGCCCAATGAAACGTGCCTAACTAAATCCACCGAGCGGCCCAGTAACGACAGTGCTCCAGAGGCCAAAACGGGGGTTTGAAGATCCCCCTTGAATGCAAGGCAGCGTCGGCCATGTATTTCTTCTTAAGATTGATTAATGCCCAATCGGATTATGATTACCAGGTTAACCCCGAAAAAGTTGACATCATCATGCCAAGTGAACGTTAGAGATGGTTACGGTATCTATTTATTACTTATCGATTTTATTACTTATCGATTTTAATCGGTAAGTATGTTGATAGGTATTTGTCTGTCTGTCTGTCTGTCTGTTAGATGCACGCGATATCTCACGAAAACGAGATTGAATCTGCTCCAGATTTTGCATGTGCATTCATCATATCTCGGACCTATTGATTTTGGGCGAATCATGTCGTATAATTAGCGAGTTATTAATTAATTAGTGAAGGGACACAACGTACAAACGTCTATGTATAAAAATGTGCAAGAGTGAACGGTGGAGGTAGTCGAGACAACGGCGGCGAACTAGTATATCACGGGTCGGGTAGAGTGAGAATATTTACTGTTATCTCATCGCATGTGCTGTTGTTTTGATTTGTCATGTTATCATTGTTCATATTGAAATTGATTTGTGTATATGTGAACTTTCTGAGGCTACAACTTTCGTGTCAAGTTCTTTTCATTAATCGCAGACGCAGATTTCTGCATTAGTCGCTGATGCGAAATTGTTTCGAGATCCCGCATAACTGCAGCGTTTAACGTAAGCACAGCTAGGACGGGTACTAAATCTGAAATTCATTCCGGCCACAAACGACAATCCATTTTCTTTAAACACTGGACTGGCAAATTACATACATATATCCAGTAGTGGGGTTCAATATTTTAAGGATGGGTTCTTTTTTGTGCCGAAGTCACTAACAACAGGTTCCCTCATTTGAAAAATATATATGTAGACCTAACACATAACTCTTGAAAAGCAAAATTTATATAACGCTGGTTGTCAGCTGTGGCGAACTTGATCCATTTCCTGCGGGCGTTTTAGGCCTCTAACAGTATTTTCTATTACCGTTTTTACAGTGTTACTATTGTACTATAGCCAATCGTCCACTATATGACATTTCATAAAATAGCTCAATTATGTGTACGTTAGAACAGGTATAAGTTTTATTGGACCTGTAGCGAGTACATATAAGGATAGTTACTGTGTATTTCAATATTTCCACCACGTATTGTTCATAGTGCATGTTATTTTCCTGAAACAAGGTCGTTGCTCTAATTCATTTCTATTATGATATTTTCCCTCGCTAAGGTATTCGTTCTTTGTTAGTTAGAAATTTGATTTCATCACATATATTTGCGTTAAGGTTCCAAGTGTATTTCATTATCTGTTATTTGGATCAATTCGATTGGGCAACAATATACAAACATTGGCATTACAATACATTGTGTGCTTATTGACCTCTGTAGGAGTCAAGATCGGAGCTACACTCTGTTAACGTGTGTTCAATAACACGGGAGTGGGGACACGCAGATGAGGCCGAAAATTCCCTATAGACCTGTCAATGACGGATAAACTTTAGCTAAAGTACCCCACTTCTAGAAACAATTAAGCGCTTTCAGTTCCGCATCCGACTGCTATTCTAAGTCTGGGCAATAGAAGCTTTTCAAGACATCACTTCATATCTCCAAGGTTCAAAATTTTGCTTCTGGTGTTCTCCTCTGTTATAATAACTCCGCATAACTTTTATTTAGTTATCCCTCCGCAAGAACATAATAATAGCATACAGCCTGACACAAGCACTTTTTATTTATTTTATTATTTAATCACCAAGCAGCAGGAAAAATAAGAGTACAGTACTTGCTAACGAAAGTAGAGAGGAAATTGCCTACGGACAGCACTGAAAACCAAAAGATTAACATTACATATTTATTCCGACTACTGACAGTTCTAAGTTTTATGAAAACTCAGATATACATACTACATTTTCTACTGTCACATAAAGATTCAAATGACAACCACGGTACAAATTTGATCTTGATGTTCTCCTGTGTTCACCACCGCTCAAAAATTCGAGATTGCAGAACAGTTTTAACATTGTGACATCCCTGTTATTAGCATAACTGGCTGAAATATTGATGCTCGTCCTGAACTAACATTCATGGTAGTTTTATATACAGGGCAGTACATAATTTTTAATTTACATCTACACCATTAAGAATATGCATGGAATGAATAACAATATGCAATGATACAATATGCCATTTTACGATCCCATGAAATATAGTACAGTGGACAATTATTACTAGGTTGTGACTTGTTTTACAACATTCTTTCATCAGGATTTTTTACAATATAGAAGTCTTTGGTGAATTTGAGAACTTTCTATAAATCGCGCTCACTTATGGTACATCACCGTTTTTATAGAGTGTTACTTCTTTCGAATCAGCAAATCAATGCATGAAACTTCACAAAACAATGCCTAAATCATGAAGCATCAGATCAGAATCTTTCAAAAAGCTGGCCATTGTACATAATAAGCATAGATATCAAAGTGAAACGAGATGGCACGAAGAACAATACAAATAATGATTAATAGAGAGCAATAATATAGAAAACAAAGTTAATTCATCACCATTTCGGACGATTTATTGAGACCTGCTAATGTCGCCTCTGTTCAATCGCAGGCTGTAAATATTTATGTGAAAAAGCTACACAGTACAACATGTAGTGATCTCATGATAGAGTACAATTATGATCAAAGTAGATCAAGCATCATTTCGGTGATTCTTAATATTTTGAAATTTCTGGAATAAATTGTGAACTGGACCGTGTTTACTGTGATGGTGATGATGATCTTTCTTTTTCACTTTCTTAACCTAGAAGTAAATGATATAATATTACAAAAATTAATCTCACAAATTTACTTCAAACTGTTTAAAATTGGCGCGGTGGTTGGCGCAATGTGCTAAGCATTAGGTATAGACTTGCCATCGCACACACCTGCGATGACCCAGGTAATCGCAGGTACGCAGGTTTGAATCCTATGTGCGAGAGGATTGTTAGACTCCTCATTGCTAACAGGCTAACTAATCCCATACATAACATGGACCGAATGGGAGGCTGCGGGTTCGCCAAGCCTCTGGATAAATATAAAAATACTGCCCTATCCAACAACATAATGAAGAATGTATGTTATGTCATAGACGACTAGAACTGGACATTTCCAATCAAATAGTGAATCATTCGAATCGGTTCAGATAAAAAGTATTCGACACAATTCTGAAATCATCAGGTATTCGAATATGCTGAGCCCCAATGACGACCTGGGATTTAGGTTAACATTTTTTAAGGATATCCAAAAGATGAAAGGTTGAATTTATTGATAGTAATAAGTTGTTCGATTAGCCAATGTCATGTCACCCATGAAAATTATTCACTCACACACACTGCCGGTACAAAGCCTTGGTTAAGATATAATGATCATCATACCTTTCCTTTATCATACTCTCTATCCCAGTCATCAATGGAAGCTGCCCTCTGTTCTGCATATGTTTGTTGAGCATCTTTCTCGACTATCGATTCTCCACCGTTCCATGAATCCACTGTTTTTAAATATAAGAAGCAATTAATTAGATTGGTTAAGAAATAATATTACAAGAATCTTGAATACAAACATCAAGGTGTTTTATACTGGTGCATTATTTTTTATATTTCTAGTTTAAAGTGAAAGTTCTTAAAATAAGCATGCTCTGTATATGACAGTACTACACTTCTCTTCAAATGGAGATGTACCTTGTATCTATTTGTAATAAAGCTAGATTTTCATATAATATCGATTGTATAGTTAATAACGAGTACGCAATCATCTGAAAAAATATTATCCAAAGACTGATGGTACTTGCAAAATTTTATTGGGTTATAGACGTTGAGATGATTATAGCACATATAAATCAGTCCAGATACCAGAAAAAAGTGAAACCCTGCTATGTACTGCAACGTGTTACCTTTAGTTCCATATGCTTTACCAGATGATTGTCTGAGTAGTTGTGCTAAAATATTTGGCCTTTCTTTGGATGAAGATTCACGATGTTGTTTCTCTTTGTGGTCTGAGAAGAGCAATAATTTCATATGAAACTAACACAACGGCAATGCTATTAATCACAAGAAAGTAATAATCAAATGGACAGACATGAAGGCCAAAATGAAGTAAGTCTTCCCAGATACCACCATCAACAACATAATAACAAAACGATCCATAGGTCCACTTTGTGTCCAACAAGAGACCAATGCATTATTTTCAGAAAAATGTGTTTCCTCGTAAACAACAAATCATTACAAAATCTCTCTAACCCTGATTGTAATTTTTCTCTCCATTTGAACTTCTATGGTGTTGATCGCCATTGGTATGTGAAGTTTTGTCTTTTTCATAATCTTTTGTGTCTGAATGTTCCCTTGATTTATGGATCTTCTCACCAGATTTATTTTTTTTCCTGTGTTCACGATGTGTGTCTGAAATTATAATGAAACAATGATATTGTTGTAATTCATAGTGCATTGCCAAAATCTGATAATATTACCAAATCCATACAACTTGTGCAGTACGTTTTGGATAGGATTTACAGATTTATCCCACAGGAGAGAAAAACTGATAAAATAGCGCAGTGCTTAATCTCATGGCGCAGTCTCTCTCTTGCATGGTTACCAGTCGATGTCGGGTATGGGATTACTTAGCCGGTTATCTGTTTCAAATTCATGGATCTGATAGAGGAAGCCGTAACCGACCAGCGGTGTGTGAATCTCCATACAACAGTTAGAAGTCCAGCAAATCCTCTTGCATATAATTATGCACCACATGATCAGAGCTTGCAAACCCACGCAGTGTAATTGGAGGTGCATTAGCAAGCATTACCCATTTATTACACCCTGGGTGCAGTGGGGAGCATGGGATTTGAACCCGATATCCGTAATCTGTGATGTCAACACAGAAAGTCTAACACTTCAACGACTAAGCCATCACGCCCTCAATATGCCGGGTTGCCAGCACTACTACCGGTACTTTTTTATCAATTACATTTGAATTAATTATATCAATTTTTTCATTCCAACTACAATTTTTGAGATATATACACTTACGTTTCTCATGATCAGATACTGATGGTGATTTTTCGTTAATGCTTGTCTGCAACAATTTCCTCTTTTTCAATCTTTTTTTCTTCTCTTTCTTTGCTTTCCTCTTGATACATTGCTCAAATTCTTCTTTATCACAATATAAAGCTTCGATACTTGAGTGTCGTTTTGGCGAGTCACTTTCGCTATAGTCTGAGTAATGACTGTTCGATTTGGAGTGAGATCTTTTCAAAGGTGAATAAAAATGTCGGTTTTGTTCTTTTTTCGTCTTCTTCGAAACAGAATCTCTTTTTTTATTACTAGATGATTTATGTTTCTTCTCCTTTCTTTTATCATAACTATCATCAGAATCATATTCATCATCTGAATATCGCCTGAGGTAGAAATAATTGAATTTGAAATTGGTAGATCACACTAGGTATGCTTTATAATACTAAATCGGTTGTTCCCGACTCTCTCTATTTGATTCAGAGATGTGAAGTATGAGAAAATTTACATTCGACTTTGCCCCAGGTTGAAAATCATTTTGGCTCCGAATATAGATCCGCTTATTGATGAGAAAAATTTTGGCATGTTCTATCAACAAGCTTAACGCTTTTGAGTTTTTGTAGAAAATTCAATGAAATTCAGATTGCCATTCTCTCAACTACAGAATATATGCAGATACGCCCACAGTCTCTGAGTGAACACTAAGAATATATTGCTATTTTATATATTCAAAATTATTTCCAGTTTAAAATAAAAATACATTCTGTATAATAAAAACAGTACCTATGTTCACTCTTGTCTCGTTTTCGTTTTTTAGTCGGTGTGGAAGATTTTTGAGAATGTTCGTTGTGGCTTCGGTCCGCTGGAGATTCACTACGATCACAATGCCGTTTTCTCTCATCTTTCTTTTTTCTATTCGATGGTAAGGACGATGATGTAGAGGTAGATGAGTCGCTTGAATATTGATGTTTTTTCTCCTTTTTCGATTTCTTTGATTCTTTCATTTTGGACCTTGAAGAAGCAAAGTTGTCAAAAATAGGCAATTGTGAAAAAATATTTGCATTTGACATGACTGAAAAGCCAAAATAACCAAAATAGAGCATCTGCAACACAAGTCCACCAATCCTATAACACATAATTATTAATTACCCCCATGGAATTTTAACCCATGCAGAGTAATCAGAGGTGCATGTGGGATGGCAAGCATATTTCTAGCGCTTTCATTTCTAGCGCAAGCATATTTCAAGATAACTGCCAAACTTATATTATTAAATAAATATTTAAGTTTGTTAAAGAGTGATCAGACTGAATTTACTAAATATCGATCACTATTTGGCCTAGAAATGACAAATAGCGACAGTGAAATACTCCATTATCAATGGAGGACTGAATTTGAAACATTAGGATATTGAGCGAAACTTCACCAAAAAAGACATAAACTCTCTGGTTGATGTTAAATACTATGAAAATCGACCAGAACAAAAATCAATTGAAAGCCTCTCTGTACATAGTAATGCAGTGACACTCCCACCCATTTATAGGAAACTAAGATTGAGGTGCAATCAATAAAATATTGATCTGAATAATGCATTAATGAACTAAATGCTGCACAAGATGTAGAAAACTGATTTGGGGTTTAAGGCAATTTTAAGTTACCAAATGGTTTTAGCTCACAGGTGTGGTCCTATCTGTAACAATAATTCTGATCTATACAAGTAATTGAAAATTATGCAAATTTGAAAAGCTATCCATATTAATAGCAAAATTTAGTATCTGTTTTAAGCAGAAGACTGATAGATTTATTGATTAAAAAATGACATCGAACGCATAAAATATCAAACACAAATAAAACAAATTAGCGTTTGAAAACTTATCTGGGTACCAACCTGGAATGCTTTTTGTAGTCGTTTTCATAATGTGAGTGATGATCTTTCTTTTCTTTCGAGCTGGCATGGCCATTACTGTATCCATTCTCCTTAATCCCGTTCTTGTGTCCATGTTTTCTGGTTAATAAATAATTCAATTGTCATTCTAAAAGCCCAAAAGGGAATCTGCGGTAGTTGCATCAAGCCAAGTTTTAGAAATAGCTTGCCATGACACCTCTGATTACCATGTATAGGTTTGCAGGCTCGAATCGATTATTGTGTGAAAGAGTGAAAGGGGATTGCTGGTCCCCTCACAGCCATTGGGTGATTTAATGGCATAATCTGACAAAAGGCCATGGTACACGATACGATTGAGCTTTCCTCTCCCCTCGAACATTTATGTAAATCCAATCCTATCCTGAAAATCCCAATAGGTAAAATTTCTTTTTTAAAGTGAAATGAATATTGTTAGACTTGGATGGTTCGAAAATAACACAGTATTGTTTATATACATCCTACTTACTCTTTTGATTTCATTTCATCCGAAGTATGTTTCTTTTTATAATTAAAAGAAGTAATTTTTGTTGCAGCTGGTTCGTCCTCTGATTGATTCTCAGATTTTTTATCTGATTCACTCGTAACAGCAGAGTTTATTTCATTGTTCAAAACTAGTAAGATCGGTTCTCTCTCTGACGCTGATTCACTGTTCGAAAATGGTTGATTTTTGCAAGGAGACTCTTTCTTTTTTGTCTTTGTAACGACGTTGCTATCAGAATTTCTATTAGATTCATACTTTGCCTTTATTGGAGATTGTTTCACTAAAAGAAATTTTGGGCATCGTAATTTTGATTCTCATGCTTTAACTGCTATGTCACTGCATCTATAGCTGACATTGGGCGACTACGTAAACTATATTGAACATTTTACATACAGGCCATAATTAATATTTCCAGTATTCATGTTATAGAATGGGAAAATTTTCATGAAATACCATGTCAGATAATTCAAGTTTACAATTTTAAAATCTCTTTCAGGGAAAGTGAAAACAAAATGGTGATTAGTGAAAGAAACGTTCTTGCATGTACCATGATTTGGTAAAATATCCAAATTAAGTCAAAATTTCAGAAGAAAACATTATGAGCAAAGTCAATTTTTTGGTTGTGGTAAAACAAATATTCTATGTCAAATGATTTATTATTTTTGTGAATAAAGACAAGAAAAAGGACACCATTCAACCCAAAGTGGGAAAAAAAAACCTAAAAAAGTTATTTTAAGAAAATGAGAAAATAGTATATTTTTGATTTCTAAATTCCTGTAACTTTATTGACATTGATGAATGAAAATCATTATGAAATTTTGTCCTGGAAACTCAGAATTTATGTTACAGTTTTAAAAAACTTAGGACAAATAATTATCAAAATTACCTGAATTATAGGATTTATGAATAGTAATTTATTTGTAATTATCGTACCTTGCTTTGCCTTCATCTCTTTTGAATTGGCAACTCTATCATCTTGTTTAATTTCTCCCAAACCTGATTTGGAAATTTCTTTCGATATCTTCGATTCATTGTTTTCATTCCCTTCTTTAGGAACTCCAACTGGAAGAAATACTGTTCTTTTAACAGTAACTTTTTTATTACTGATAGAAACATTAGACAAGGTTTTTGACTTTGTGCCGGACTCCTGTCTTAATTGTTGTAAAGTAGATGTCATTGTCGTGTAACTTAGTGTTGAAGCGTCCTGGCTTTCCTGTGGATAAAATAAATGCAGATGAAGAAAATTTAATTTTAAATTTATCGATTTTAATTAGCTGACTCGACAAATAAGCTCTGCTAAAACAGTATTAATTTAGTACCACAAATATTGAATATACTTTACATTATTAATTTTTTATGTTTTAGGATAGTTGAATAAAAAAGTAGGCCGCAGGCACAATATGGTTCACAAAGCCAATCAATCAAAATTAAAATTTTGAAAGACCTAATTCACACTCACATCGTCATTCTCGTCATCATCACCACTAGAATACGAGACAAGAGCTTTTAATCCAACAGAAGTTGTTGTGGAAGATAAAGATGAATGAGATGTGTTTGCAGATGATGATGAGGGTCCAGCAACATTTGAATCATTCATGAATTTATCAAGTATCGGAGATCGAACCGCACTTGTTGAACAATTGGCTAAATTTAAGAAAAAAATACATATATTTGTAAATGTAATGCAGAAGCTTATTCCAATACAGTAGTTCACAAACTTTACGATATTATCAATTCTAAATCTTAAATACCAGAATCCCATTTAACCTCTTCCATAAAAATAAAGTTTTCAGTGCACAAATCCAAAAGTCAAAGCGACCAATTACAATTGGATGTATAGCAATGCTCATTGACAAGATGCGAAAACAGCCCGCATTGCTTTTCCAGAGACACACCAACATGAATTACAAAGTAATATGTTAATAAGACAGTGAATGTCTAAAGTACCCATTAAAAATTTTGAAAATCACCCCTTTGAGTTTGATTTGAGAAGTCCATCGCAATAAGTCGCTCCAGATTTATGAAAACCTACATACCTGGTAAAGTTGAACTCTTCGTTTCTATATTCGTTTTTTTGACAGAAGTATTATTTTGGTCAATGAAGCTTCGTGATTTGGTCATGCTTGTGTGAACCTTATCATAGATTAGAAAACAATTGAATACAGAAAAGAAAAGTTCCAAATGATTCCTAGCATTGATTGAGACATATTTTATGGGATTCAATGCATATTATAAATCAAGGGCATCAACCCAAAAGGCAAAAATTGAAAAGTTCTGCGGAAAACTTATATTTTTGACTTTCCGACATTTTGAACTTTTAATTGAAATACTTTGATGAAAATGACTTCAAACTTTGATATGAAAAACAGCCTCTTCTTTGAAATTTTCTAAATTAAAATTTCAATATTCGCCTTCATGTCTTGAAACCCTCGTAATATAAACATAATTACTTAAAATGCTTTCAAAACTGGAAGCCAGACCGAAATTGGGATAAAAATACTTTGAATTTGAAACATTTTTTGTTGAACACAACTATAGTTATGGCATAGTTAGATGCCCTGGACAAAAGCATGGCTGAATAAATAGACTGCAAATTTGTGATACAATTCGCAAAAGACCTGACAGACTTTTCGTTTTACTAAAGAACTGACTCAATGTGAATTTGCTACAAGCCGGGATTAAACCCTTATTCTAGAATTTAGATTTGCATTTAAATTAGAGTTTGAACATTCTGAATGAATAGGTTCACAACAAAATCATGATCCATAAAAATCATGATCGAAAATTTTACTCAGCGAAATTTTACATACACTGTTTTTGATCATAAAAAGATGCTAATTTTACGGAAATGCAGTAAATTTAACTATATAAAAAATCTCAGTTCCATTTCTCCCGATTTTTTGAACACCTCTAGTCTAATGCCTTATTAATACTTACCCCATTAGAAAACTTCGAACTATCACGATTAGCGATGTTGTTATTTGTTGATGTAATGTTAATGGATGTTGGTGGATTTGGTTTTCTTTTGAGAGAAAACTGCAAAGGTTGTCTGTTGTTGTTATTCAAACTTCCAGCTGAAGGTTTGATGGCATTTTTGAGCAATTTCGTTTGATTGTTGAACTGTTTTGACATAGGTGAACCTGTGTCTGAAATAGGATGTATGTAAAATAAAAATAGTTCTCAATATATCTTAATAACCAAGGTTCATTTTAATCAGTGTTTATTAAATTTTTTCACTCCATTTGATACTCCCACCATTAGTTGCATGAAGCACATCAAATTTAATCATGAAATTTAATACAGGACTTTACTAACATCCAGTATAATGATAATTAAATAAGTTTAGAAGTTTGAAAAAACTCATGGCACTGAGGAGAGCTATATCTTTCATACAAGTCAAGACTATACAAATTGCTCATAAATTGAACGAAGACTATCATGTCATATTATAAAACTTTTTCTTGACATTGAAAGCAAATTTTGAAAGTATTAAAATAAATTATTGTCGATCAAAGTTGCAACACAAATGATATGTGGAGCAATCTGACACTTTGATTCCTTCTTTTATGAACTGGATAACATGCTAATATATGACAGAATTCGTAACATATTCCTAGAAACCGCAAAATAAAATTTTGTCACTATAAACCAAAGTAGCTTCGGTCACATTTTTAAGAAATAGACCGTTTTTCTACCTCCTGTTATTATGAACCTTAGGCCATCTTTTGGACTGGCTTTTAAATCCATACTTGTTTTGGTTCTGATTTTAGATAGTGCCTTCAGTCGTTTTTACATTTGGCTGTACAGTTCTGGGAATTACGAAAATGAGATTTCTCAAAAGCTCAAAATATGAAATAGCTAATTTGGTTCTGCCATGGCGATATAGTCTATTAGATATCTTGTCTTTAATTAACGAACCTGAACTTGATGAATTAGACGAGAATGTGTATTCTTTGTCTCTCTTGAAGCCTGGAGGAAGTTGAGGTCCTATCACAGGTTTATTGTTGAATTTATGATGTTCGATCAAAGCTGGCTTGATTCTGTTTGCAACGCCAGAATGATGAGGTTTATTCATCGGCATTCCGTGCAAGTTCTTATTCACAGACTGAATACAGAAGTAGTGCGTTGAAGATACTGTCTAACTAGTGAAGTGAGAATAAATATAATTTTTTACTTTTTAAGGAAGTTTGCTCAAAGCAAGGTCACATAAACTCAGTTAGGAATAAAGGAAACTGATTACTGAGTGAAGTTATGGGCGACTGTGAGTCAAGAGTAAAATAGCTAGCAGTTAGTGGAATCCACATAACAGAAGTTCATGAAAAAAAAATGTAAAAAATAACAGAAAATTAATAAATTGAATATTTGACTAAAATATATATATCATACATCTTTTACCTTAAGATTTCCTAGTTGTGTAGAAGCTTTTGGATTTTTGGAGTAAAACAGAAGATACGCCTGCTGATTCAAGGCTTGATTCACACTCACTTGGTGAACCTGAATAAAAACCCAGATCAGTTATCCAGTTGAGCACAGGTTGACACACAAACACTGCAATAATACTTTGCTTGATGATATGCAAAAAATACGAGTGAATTGAATTTGAAATTTGTCCAGTTTGATAAATTTAGAAAATTGAAACTATTTTTCAGAGAAATCTCTATTAGCCTACATAGTGAAATCAAGATTTATGCCAAATTGTATTGTAAGTAAAATTTTATATATTTAATAATTTTATTTCACAATAGATCAACTCCAATAGATCAAAAATTAAAAATAAAATCGGTGAAAAATTGAAGAACAGCGGAACGAAATTTAATTACATACGGTCGAAAAACTAGATGTACATTTGAGTAAAGCTATATTGATTTCTGAATTTACTCTTTAGCATTAGTGACCAAACCGGTCACAATGCCAACTAGAATCACCTATAATCTCAGGGTTAGGCCAGTAGCCTCTGATTTTCTTTATATTCAATCTGGTTATTGATTCAGTCAAAATGCTTTTATTCCTGCACTCAAGAGAATGCAAGAGAAATTTCGAATCAATATTCAAGCTTTGACAGATTACTGGAATATAGAGTAGGTAGTACTGTAGTATTTTCAATGAGATATTGCATCGTATTGAAATCTCAAAAAGAATTATTCTGAATTTACTAACAAATTCTGATATGGCATATTTATATCAAATCGACAATAGCAGGATAGTATAAATAAGTGATATTTCTAAGTCAATAGAGCAAATATTTTACTATGACCTACTAATAGCCAATAGGAATTTTTTAAACGGCGCTTATTCATGGCTTTTGCTCTGAACATGGCACTGCACAAGCAAACACTGATATATCACGATATATAAGGAGTTACTTTTTATTTAAAAGGACCGTTATCAACCCAATTTACTACATCTTGGGTGAGGTGGGGAGCATGGGAATTCATCTGCAATGTCCACGCAATTGGGCTTAATTCCTTAACCGCTAGGACATCACACTGCTAAAAAATGAAACAACAATTATATATTTGGTTAAAAAAGACTCACTGATGAATCATTGAAGCAATACCACTGTCCATTGGGTGCTTTTGCGTAAGCATAATAATGTCCTGACTGACAAGAGTATCCTGAATGCACTAGCACAGCATACAGCTCATACCAAAGACCAGATTCCTGAAACAACAAAGTAAAAATGCTTATACTGGCATATTATAATTCTCATTTTGTCATAGAAATGTATATTAACCTAGGCATATCAAGTAAATCTCACCAAAACGACTTTTCACAATTAGTTTTTGCAAATACAAATTTTTATTTGAAAGAGGGTAATTGGCCTGACATCTAAAAATTAATAGTTTTGGCGAATGCTGGAATTCATTTTACATGATCTAAGAGTCTTGCTGCACTCCTGCACACTAACACAAATTCCTATTTCTTTAACAGCAACATATAGCTGTAAGAGAATTTTATTTGTGTTAGTGTACAGCAAGACTCTTGAATCACTCAGAATAGTTATCTTTACTCTTGCTACATCTTCCTATCATTATTTAAATATGAATCCACAGATGCAAAACCATAGAAGGATAAATAGTTAGTCCCACAAAAACCCAATGAACCGTCAAACTTGGTCAAAAATTGGGTGAGAATAAATTCATTTTTATAAGAAAAATATACAAACCGGTTTGTTGCTCATATAAGGTCCGATATTCAGTTTCGAAGGATAAACTAGTTCTTTGTTGATTTTATTTCCCATAAAATTAGAAAATCTAAGAAAAAAAATATTTATTAATGATTACATTGCATATCAGAAAAGTTACATGTTATATCTGTCCACAAATAAATAATCTAATATCATGTAATCTTGAACTGAAACATTTCAAAATCTATTACCTTTTCAGCTGTATCATTAGTACATTCGGAGCACGATGGATTGAGAATTTTTTACAAGCCTGAACTGCCGACTTACATTCCATGCACCTAAAGAATGAAGATAAAATTATTCGCCGTCTTGCTTCTTGTCATTCTATTAGAGAAGCTGTCAATAGTTAATGCCATGGTAGTAATAAAGGGTTGACATATTGGTACTCTCAAAGTATGTGTACCAAGTTAGGGTTAGGCCAAAATTTCAGGTAAAAATACTAAGAGAGTCACTTGGCTAGTCCCCGAACTCGTAATGGAACTAAAATAAAGAAAATTGGAATAAAATTATGGCCTAGCCCTAGCCTGATAGACATACTATGTCCCGGTGTCTGCCGTCTTGGTTCACATACTTTGGGAATACCGTCATATTTATAATTGAGCGAGAAAAACAGCGAGACCACATCGTTTCTTCTGCTTATCATTACCAGAAACATTTGTGCTTTGTTAGCCAGCGCACTTTGTTTTTTATATGACTCTCTGCACAAGCAGTTTAAGGCTTAATTGCTAGGGTTAAAGGTTATTGCTAGGTTGAGGAGCTACTTACAGTTAAGGACTTGCATATCCAATTTATTACACTCTGGGTAATGTGGTGAGCATGTGATTGGACCATGATATTTTAATCTACGATGTAATCCTGGTTAGGGAGTTTAACTTAACAGAGCCCAGTAATTCCTTTTAGACATCATTCACACAATTTGAATCTTTTTTTCTAAACTAGCAATACACAACCTGTTCATAGCCAGAAAAACCTAAAACTAAAAATATTTTCAACTTGAATCTTTCAAAACTAAATACCAAACAACTTACTTGTAAGCATTATCACCTTGCAAAACTTCAATTCTAACGAACATTTCTAAACAACGCTGAAGATCAACACATCCTTGTTTGTTTATATCAAGACTTAGATCAAGGAAGGGGTCGTATGTGTCTGACACTGATTTGCATTGTCTGCATTTCACTGCAAATTAAAAGCATATTCATGTTGTTCTTCAGTGTTACTAAATCACAATGAAGATGAATCATATATTACAAATTTATTAATTATTAATATTTATTATTAGAATTTTTCAATAAAGACGTCAAATATAATAGATATTATTTACTCGAACATTTTGTGTTCCACATTTGCCACTTTTCATATAAGATTTTTGAACCTGTGAAATTTCTTTAACTTTCGTTATACTTCGTTTCCGAGTAGGCCATATTTGGGTGAACTTATACATAACGATGAGGGGGGAATGAGCTAGTGTTGATTGGGAGGAGCGGAACCTAACTACCAAATTTATTACACCTGGTGAGATCTTGAGATTGAGATTTGTGATCAGTGATGTTAACACAATTGTAGGGTAGTTCATACTGCTGGTTAGTTGAGGCTTCTTCCCCCATACACCCATCATATCCATGCATCCGAAATGAATAACTGGCTAACCATTCCCATACTTGACATGGAATGGCAACCGGATGAACGGATCGTAGTTTGCAATTTGAATGAAAACTTATCGACTTTCCTCTCCCCCTGAGATAAATATGAAATTCCTATCTTAAAAAAATAATACACTTACCTCTACTTCTTAGATATCCACCGAATATTTGATGAATTACAGTAGTGGCTTTGATGTGAACATCCATCCTGAAAACAGAATCGCCTATCAATGTAATTCTACACTTGTAATTTTGGGTATTTCGATATTTTCGGAACCAGGCATGTCAGTTTTAAAAGAATACATAATGGTCATTAAAGGCCCTAAAAGGTATCGTTATAATCACAAATTTTCATACCGGCTTAGCAAGAATAATGTATAACATCTCAAAATGTAGATAATAAAAATTTGCAAAAAAGAAATATACAGTAGCGTCAGTAGGATAGCGAAGTAAAATACACCACCTGGATGAAATATTTAAAACAAAAAAAATACAAATTAACATACTTGCTTGGATATCCAAACAAGCAAGCTTTCTGCATTGCATCAACTGAATATCGAATAAATTCATGAGCATCCTCTTGACGACCAAATTGCAGATGTTTCGCTATCACTGATAAACAAAATATGTTATACGGGATCAATACCATGGAATGGGAACAATTAACAACTGTACAAAATTATCTTTTATTAGTAATGGAAGGAAGAAAAATACCACACGTAACACAGCAGTAGCACCAACCAATTTAGCTTATGTAGCATTTTGAGGTTTGAAGAAATCACATTTTTGTAATTTTCATATCTGTAATTGACGAGTGCTTCAAACCCCAAAGGGGTAGAATTCTGATCTTTTTTAAAAAACACCACACAAGTATGTCACCTGAAACTGAGTTCACAGATGCCTGAAGAATTCTCCTATATCTATTTTACCCCCATTTTAGACATGAACTACTTTGTTTTCAAAATATGCAAGGTTACAATGCTGAAATTTACAATTTTGCACTCAATACATGCAAAGCTATCAAATCTAAAAAAAGACAAAGATTAAAAATGTCCTTTCTGTGAAGTATTTGGCATACCGTACTTTGGTTCTACTGCAGGTGTTATAAAGGATGATAATTATATAATTTTCATCCTAATTCAATCAATGGAAGGAGTTTCTGAGTCTATCTGCACATTGCAAACAAATGCTACATCTAGGATACTCACTTCTCAAATTCTTCAGAATATACATTGGTTTTATAGGCTGTCCTGAGTTGGAATGTATGCTGAGTAGATGCTGTTGCATGGCACATAACATACAAAATTGTCCATTGACCTGACCTGAAAATGATGGATGTACTATGTACAATATTACTTAGTATATTTAGGCTAGAAATTAAGCACCGTTTAGATATGTAATTTCTATCACTTCTTTTGAAATTTGTGCAGCAAAATATGACTAAGTAATTATCGAAATAAATCATGATTTTACTTGTCAACAGTAATTTTGGTTATGAAACAAATTAAGACTGGTAGCAATTAGAGCACCCCATTAATAGAATACTGTTGGGGTAGGGGATCTAGTTAGTTCGAAAAAACTTGGATAGTCTGTTGCCCAAAGGCAATCTATCTTTTCACAATTAAAATCCGTCTGTTTCCACAAAAAGACAAACCTATTATAAAAAAATAAATAGTTTTGAAACAATATTATAGGATTATTTGAATCTGAATAAAAAAAAAGTCTTACAATGTTTTCTATGATCCAAATGTATTAAATAATTAGCAAGAGGTGCAGTGTATGCGAGACATTGCAATGCTGAATTCAAAAAGCAGGTGTTTCCTAAATTACAAAGTCCAGATCCGGCACGCATCGCTTTTTTCCAAGACAATTCAACCTGTTTGTTACAAAAAATTGGATTTTTTTCTTTAAAATTGATGATAATTATAATTTTTCTCTGGCACATTCTTGGTAAAGGTGTGAACTAATATAGAGTTCTCTTATGCATTATTGATATCCACCATGACAAAGTGAATAATACTATGGCTATGGTATTGTACATAAAACAAAAGCACTTAGGATAATGCACTAGTACTAGCGATAGCAACTCAATTTGTCATTGTTAAATTTGACTCCCATTAAATAATTATCTTCCTTGATCATGGAACGGGAAATGTGACTTTGGAAAAGACTTAGTAATCAACCAAATAGCAAGCAAATTGATTCTACATATTGGAAAACTTAAAAATATGAATACTAGCAAAACCATATCATATCAATGACTAGCTAAACGCATATACCCAATTCCTTCCTTATGACAAAATATCATAGATAGCTAAGTATCGTAATATGGCACAAAATTTGGAGAAAAACTATCACCAAATAGATTTTTAGTCTAGAAATTATATGTCAAATTGAAGAAAGATTTAAAAAAAGAAAGAAAGGACACCTTGTCAGCTGAAAATATTGTATGTTTAGGTGCTGGTATCCCATCATGTCCTGTTCCAGATGTTTCAGTAGTGCTTGGGGCATTAACTTTAAGTGCTAAAACAGAAAAATACTAACATGAGCATTAAAAACAAAACAAAGATAACAAAATTCAAACTCAAGTTGAATTGTGATCAATTTTATTAAAATCAGGGTGTACTTGATAAGATCGCCTATGACATGAAAGCACCCAAGTATACATTTTCAATCAACCACAGGAAATTTCAAAGTGATTGGCAATTTTCTTCATAAAAATAACAAACAATTTAGCAAAATAATTAAAAAACTATAGGTACACAAAATGCTCAATTAATCTCTTTAAAACTCCTTGCAGTTTAAAGCTCAAAAAAAAAGTTGCCAAACTGAGAGAATCGGCTTCTACGCGCATAACTCTGATCGCACTAAAACTTCACCTTATACACGCATACCTCCGATCGCACTTGATAAATTAATAACTTAAACTGAACGATATTATCATTAATGACACGAGTCTAACAATAAAATTTGTGATAGATTGTGATGAATAATATCTAAGAGCCATTTCATACACTGTAAATTGCTGGAAATGCAAAAAATGTGCTGATTTTCTTTGATGTAGTTCATATAAATATAAACACTAAACAGACACAGTCCTGCGGAGAATAGGCACTGATTTTTTTGTTCTCGAACCAAGTATGTATGCCTCTGAACAAGTTTAGTAAATTTAAAATTTTAACCTTCTCACTTAAAATCATTTTCAATGCATTTTGCACAGTTACTCGGTTAAATAATAATTGAACTTTGATACAGAAGATGTGTGTTGCATAATATAACAATCAGTCGATGAAAACTAAATGAATAACAGTTTAGGATTTGGAAATGGAAAATCCAAATTCAATCTAGTCATCAATTGATATTACCTGGAGACATGGTGATTGAATTCTTAGTTGCTTCACTTTTTTGACTTGGATTTAAGATAACGTATTTTGATTTCAATTTCTTCAAGTTTATGTGATATGGCTGCTTCGCTTCTGTAAGAATTAAAATGAATAAATATAAAAAAATATGTTTTAGTACCTAATGGTTGATGATGACGTAGAAGTCCAGAATTTTCTTCACAAACCAATTCATTGTCAATAAATAAATTTACAATATATTAGATTTGCAAAAAAACGAATTTCACATTAGAACATTCCAGAATTGTATATTTTAAATTTATCAAATATCGTAGAACAGATACATTATTAAATTAACACAAAGTGATAAAAACAGGTCATTGGGAACATATTCTAGAAAGAACATAACCTTTGGTGATCTTTGAATACTGAAATTGGGTATAATCATACACAAAGAGAAGCTCAAGTGGTTGAAAAATATTCTTCTTTTTCATAGAATGGGAAAATTTTAAAGTTCTGTTTTTTAGGATCACCCTGTATATAAATATGGCTATAGCAATATTTATAACTACCATATTTTCATTTTCATTTGAATTAATGAACTTTCAGACTAACCTACAAAATTTATTCTTTGCAGCAAAACTTTCTTCGACGCGGCTCGAAGATGTTCATCAAGATCAAAAACGTCTTCCTCATTCTCTTCTCCACAATTGCCAGTGGAAATATGAGAATCCGATCTCAATGACTGAATGATTTGCTGCGATATCGTCATAATGCAAAAGAATTCCCATTACTCATCAATATTGACAACATATTTGATTAATTAATGAGCAGAAAATGAAGAAGACCTTTGTCCAGTGTTGACTGACAATATTTGGTTATCTACATGCAATATAATCGTTCTAGTACAGAACAATACCCTATCTGCAAACCTAAAAACTGATAAAATCAGTTATTAGTAAAATAGTTCTTCAATTCCAAGATGTCGTAATATTTAGAATATTTAGATAAAAAAACTATTTGTCCCCGAAACGTCTTATAATTAAATTCAATTGGTCTACAACTTAGGTCATCATAACGAGGTTACTAGACCTGCAGACAATTAAAAATCATTCATTTCTCACAAATTATGGTGACCAAAAAATTATCTGACCAATTAGCCTAATTACTCTACAATAGTATACAATTCTCCAATTTCAAGATGTCCCGACATTAGGTTTAATAAAACAAACACACTGAAACAAGGGCTTCTGTTGACAGATCATGCCATGCTTGTTTTGATAATAAATCAAATCAATCGCGACGAGCGTGGGCCGTCACATGAAACTTCGAAGACTATAAGTGCTACATTCAGAACTATTTCTGTATTTCCACTAGATGTTTTTCTGCTTTTATATTATATCTGTACCTGCAACATGATGCAGTGCTGTATTTCAGTATTTCCATATTTCCAGGGTAAGACAGTACTGCAGTAAGATGGGTTCTATCAGGGCAAAAATAGTCAAATTGTACAACAAGAACGACTAGATAGATAGATTTTATTATGATTCATTTTCAAAAAATAAACAATATACAAAAAAGAAAAGGCCAAGAATCAGGAAAGTGGACAAAACCTAAAAACAAGTTTATAACATATAAAACGCGTTCACCTACCGAAGGACTGAAGGAGTAAGAAAACAAGTCACAACAAACATAAACAAATAAACATGATTCCGCACTTCTGGAATAATCGGAATAATCATTATTCAGGTCAGCAGGTGTCTAACTTCATAATCAAACTACTGGACCAGCAGACTAGATTAGGTTAGAAATATTAGGAGGTACGGTACTACGACAGTACCAAGGTCTCGTGTAGTTTCGTACCGGTACCTAACATACTTCTGGTGGGCGTACGCTTTTGATAATTCGATTTAGGGGTACCGGTAACGATATTAAAAATTTAGGATTTAGGATTTACAGGATTTAGGATTTACATATTTATCCCGGGGGAGAGGAAAGCCGATAAGACGGCTTATCCATATGGCGAACCACGGCCTCTCGTCCGGTTACCATTCCAAGTCGGGTATGGGATTAGTTTTTACTGTATTGTTTGTTTTCGGAAGCATGGACTTGGTGGTGGAGGAAGCCGTAACCGACCAGCGGTTACGTGAACCACCCAACGACGGCGAGGAGTCCAGCAATCCTCTCGCACATAACCATCCCTGCATGGGATTCGAACCTGCGAACCCACGCAGAGTAATTAGAGGTGCGGTGGCGAGCGTATTCCTAACGCTTAGCCCGTTGAGCCACACCGCCGCGCCGGGTCTGGTATAGTTTAGTACCGTAAAACCGGCTAACTTCGGATGCCTTGTAACTTCGGATGAAATTTTCAATCATTCATATCTCAACTAAATTTCGTCGTATTGCGCTTCTGTCGGTTTCTATAGTAAGGCCTTACATATCTGAATCTGCCGTAGCCTCCAATCGCTCGATTTGATTTTTTATCATTCAAAAAATCATATTTTACCAAAAAAATGACACCGTTTTTTCGAGCGGCTCAAATCGTGACTTCTACAGACGCTACCTTCGTCAAATCACCGCCAAGCGCTAGAGAGCGTACACAATGTATACAAAAAAATACAGTGATCACAAGGTGTCGTACGAGATTCGAGTGAAATCGATTATTTTGATTTAAAAATTACATCAAAATATCGACTTTTTGATGATTACGTACAGCGTGACGTCACCGACGCAAATCCCGTTCTCTCTCTTCGTAGCCGACGTCACTTTGCGTAGCTCGTGCGTTACTCGCTGCGACATTTGAACGCCAGACATCGCGGCGCCCAGTTTTGTTAAATTTAAAAATTATGCTTATCCATGATCCTAGTCACTAAATCCTACAAAAACATCACTATCGTCTCAGTCATATGTTGTTTATTTAAAAATATGGGTATGCATACGCTTAATGCATATGAAATTTGTCGATTTTTGTTTTTGCATACTTCCTCCGACACCGATAGATACCGTAGCAATTGGTAATACGTTAGGCCTGAAACCTGTATCTATACGATCATAATGATTAGATATGTCTGTTTACGATCGGCAGATGATAATAATATCTTTAACAGGTGAGCGTAGAACTCTACATACATGCACACAGCAGGAGGTTGGACCACATACAGGTGAGGCGCAAAATGAAAAAAAGTGGCAAAGTTTCTTTTTGCCGTTTTTATCCGTTTATTGTCATTTGACTTTATTAAGTGAAACGAAAGCGAGGATCGAAAGTCACACCGGGCAGGAACCTCTGCCGAGCCGATCAACGGGGAGCTCTGAGAAAATCAGAAAATATGAAAAGTGATAATCAAGACGAAACCTGCTCTGCTTGTGGATTATGGAATGATCCAAATGGAAGTACGGAAATTGAGGATGAATGGGTCGGTTGCGAAAGCTGCAGCGAAACACATTGGTTCCACAAGAACTGTTGCAAAGACCCGTCTAACCCATGTGGAAATGATTACAATTCTTGATTTTGCCAGCGTTTCCTTCAATTCATCTGTTTATTTTTAACTGTCGAATTTTTGTTCATACCTTACTTGTTCCATATTGCTTTTTGATTTCAATTTTTACTTTTGCCAGTGTTTTATTCGATTCATCCGTTTATTTTTAATTGTCTAATTTTTGTTCATTCTTTACTTGTTCAATATTGCATTTCAATTTCAACCTACACCAGTGTTAGGTACTTTCAATTCTTCCGTTTTTTTTTTTGTTAATCCTTTTCTTGCATTGAAAATGAACGATCATAAAAGAACGAACTAGCATTTTGCAATAAATTAGGAGTAGTTAGTGAAATATATACGAGTTATAATAATGGACACAAGAATAAATAGTTAAGCTTCGCGAAGCGGCAAGAGTAACGTCACGTACAAACGTCAGTATTCAACACGCAAGACAGGTCGTGGCGGCGTAAGGTCTATTCAGCGACGTTGTCACGCGTCATTGCTTACGCAGACATTTCTCTCTCACGACGAGTTGACGCAAAGAGAAAAGTGGCCATCCGAAGTTAGATAATTTTAGAATAGACGAATAAAGACAATAATTTCAATGAAAAAAGGCTTTGATGGATATGGAACCGACTTTATCAAGACGAGAATAGCCACAATGTATTATATTCCAAATTTGGCTTCAGTTGAACAACATGCGGCGGAGATATTGTTCAAAATATAGTGAAATCATCCGAAGTTAGCCGGTTTTACGGTACCACATGCACTTCTAGTTTGCCTGGCTCAACAATTTTTGCATATGTCAATCCTCCCCCACCTGACTACATCACAGAAAAATTACGTCATTTCGACGTAACAGTGGTGTAATAAGGCCCACCAAAGTATGCGGATGGTCGTCCAAAGCGGGCAGACGATCACCCGAATTCGATGCAAGCGATTTCTCTCGTTTTTACGTCACAACGATCACGATAGAGGAGAGAGATTGCCGGCTTGGGCGAGTTCGTTATCGGCGGCGCAGATGCCATTCCGGGCGATTGTAATTATAATTTGGCAAGCCCTATGACGTGATAGTGACGTCGTAGTTGCGTAATTTTTGGATGGCATAGTCAGGTGGGGGTTAGGAATAACATATGGAAAACTCGTTATGCTACGCCAGTGGTTCTCAACCTTTTACTGACCGCGTACCACTTTACTGTTTTTTACTCTGGCCGCGAACCACTGAAATAGCCCCTTTTTGGCGTAGGGAACAATGGCACAAGACACGCGCTATGGGAGTATTTTATAATGTGGCACTACATCCTTAGTGACCTAATTCGCAAGACGGACGAAAACATGCCCATCTCGATTCGTTCGTGGGCAATAGCAGGCGAGGGCGATCTCTAAAGGCTGGACTGGTCCATAAGACTGTAAGACGTTTCTCTGACCCTTGACCCCAGAAAAATTCTTCCTATACTTTACTATTGCAAAAAATTTTGAAAACCTTCATTTTTATTAAAATTATTCAACCATGTGCCGCTTACAGGCACTGATAGCTTAGTTTAGATTAGTCTATCGCAGCATTTGCGAGACTCATTTAACAAAATTAATGCTCCTTTGAAGACATAATACCAATTAAGATATTTAATTCACAACTATTTTTTTTGAAACGCAACTGAAAACTGACAAATAACACGCAAAACTATAAAAACGAGGCAATGTTTACTGATTGTTGCTGGTTACGGAAATAAACAAGGAAATTGATGCACAGGGAAACATTCATGAAGGCCATTCAGCGAATACATACAGTATGGAAGATAAAGTGTTGTCAGGCATATTTTGGCCAACTCAAAAGTTAATTGTTGCAATAATTCAAGGCTGCCCGCGTACCACTTGATCATCTTTCGTGTACCACTAGTGGTACGCGTACCACAGGTTGAGAACCACTGTGCTACGCCAACTGGAAGTACTTGTGGTACTAAACTATACTAGACCCAAAATGCCATGCTAGCAAGCAGGTTGCATGAATTATCGGTACCGGTAGGTACTGCTTTCGTCAAATTGCGGATTGGGGTCTAGTATAGTTTAGTACCACAAGTACTTCCGCTATATTTTGCATATGCTATTCCTATCCCCCACCTGACCCAGTCTGGATTTCATGGCCTTTTTGAACGAGAAATCGGGCGTGCAATCCGAAATTCCCGCGTGCAAATAAGAATTCCTGGCGTGCAATTATAGCTCACGACGTGCAAAACAACTGCACTCGCGTGCAACTGACTTTGACATCAGATACCTCTCAATACATCCGCGTAAAATAACGGTATCGGATAAAAAATACGTTGAATCAGAGAAAATATGGACGTTTGACCTTTGACCCCAAACATTATTTCTACAGTTTGTCGCTAATTTTGAGAGTGTTTGTGCGACTTTGGATACCGGTACTGTTCAGTACATCCGCGTAAAATTATTGGATAAAAAATACGTTGAACCAGAGCAAAATGGAC